CTAGGAAATTGACATGTCACTGGAAAGCAGTCGGCCTAAAGGACGACTGACAAAAAAAAAAATTTTGCAAAATCAGGAATTGTATTTTGTTGTGATATTAAAAAGGAAATTAAAGTTAATGGTCATTCTTGATCAAGAGGGGAGAATAGACAGTCCCCAACATCACTCTCTCCCACAAATCAACCAATTTAAAACTATTAAAAAGCAACAACAGGCAAGCTGGAGCTGCTAGAGCTCAGGGGAAGAGGAGGAGAGACCTACAGAGTTCATGAAGGTGGAGAAGCCATGATGAAAGGAAGAAAGGACTGCTCCAACTGTTTTGAGCCCTGGCTGCTGCAAGGCTGGCCCTGGTGAGCACATGGAGCCAGAGCTGACAAAAGCCACAGCTGTCCCCTTTGTATGAATTTGCTTGGAGGCTTCAGGGGAAGAGAGGGCCTTGTTGGCTCCCAGGCTAGCAAGACCACTAACAGGGTTCCCGTGGACCAGTGTAGGAGCGAGGGGCCATAGACAACTGAAAAAAGAAGCTACTCACAGCCTGGTGAGTCATCACAAGGGACCGGTGCATGGTCTGTCCCACGGGAAGTGTTTGGAGTGTGGGTAGTGGGGGAGATGGGACCACCAGAGCAACATTGGCGCACAGCATGGACAGCTGATCTGCCCTCCAATCAGCACAGGACCACTCAGTGGAGACTGGTCAGGAATATAGAACTGTGGGGGTGCGGTTGGATGAAAAGACTCAGGCCCAGACCAGAATTTCTACACAACCCAGGTGTACCAGATCTCATGAGACCCAGAAGTGCTTACAAGATTAACAAAACTTGAGCTGCACAAAAAGCTTTCCCCAGAGAATCAGCAGCAAAGCAGCAATTTAGCTTAACCAGAGGGTCAAGTGTTGGTCCCTACAGAAGTCCCCCCCCTTTAGAAGTAAGCAAAGGATAATAAATTAGTTCCAGTGCAGAGCTCAAGTAGTGAGAATAGCAAATAATTCAACACAGAACTAAAAGAAAAAACAAAAACTTATAGATCAGAGACAAAGTTGTGATATTAACCAGTAAAGGTCTAACACCACCAAAGAACACCTATAAAACCTAGAAGGACCAGAAGCTCTCTGGTCTCCCAAGCTGGGGTGGAGGTGGGGGGCTGAGGGCCTCAGCCACAGCCCCCTAACAGCCGCATCCAGCCCAGCAACAACCACCAAGCTGTTGCTGGAAGCAGCCCGGGTTTGGGAGCCTGGGCTGTGGGGTCAAAGGCCTCAGCCATGCCCTCCCCTCCTTCCTTCTCCTTCCACCCTATCTCCCTTCTCCTTCCCCTCTCCCCCTCCCCAGCCACTGATCTGCAACATCTTAGAATTAAAAAAAAATTAATTAATTAAAAAAATAAGATAAATAAACTGGCAGAAAAAAAAGAATGATCAGCTTATCTCTAGTAATATTTTGGTGAAAGAGTGTTCAGATAAGTAATATGGATATTTCAGTCTGTGTGGCAGGTACATGCCTATCAAGACACAGGGGAGAGTAACAATCATCTGAGATTTGTAAATACCACCCACTTTATAGATATTTCTAATCTTTTCAATAACACCTTGAGATAGGAATTAATTGTAGGTACATTTAATGAATGAGAAGACTCAGGTTCATAGAGGCTAAGCCACTTTCCCAAGGCTGCACAGCTATAAAATGGCTGATACAGGATATACTTAACTCCAGTGCCCATAATTTACAGACCCTGTAAGAATCTTCAGGATCTTCTGAGAATAGCCCAGAAGAATAAGCATCTTCCAATTCCCTGACTTAGTGCTTGAGGGGTTCTGGTCAATGGGTCTCACACTCTGGTCTTTCCTGTAGGGTTATTTGCCCTATAAATTAATATGTGAATATTCCAAGATTCCAATCAGCCCACTGTGGGCAGGTTCCTATCAATCATTTTCTTAGGGCCCAATCACATGTGAATGAGGCAATAAGCAGTTCTGAACAGAAAAGTTGAGTGACCCTGGATTACCACATAACAAAAATATCCAGAACCTTGTCAGGATGGCCTGAAGCTGTTGGCCACCACCCCAGGTAATTGCTGCAAACAGCTACCAGATATTCCATAGGAAAGGACATCATTCACAGAGCCTTCTGGCCTTGGAACCTGGTGGCTGTTCCCATGGGTTCCTTTCCTCGTATGATTACTAGTCACATATATTCAGAGCTATTTAAGAGGTGGAGGCAGCTTAGCACCATAGTCAAGAATATAGACTTTGGAACCTGACAGCCCTGAGCTGGAAACCTAGCTCTGGCAGCACTGGCTGGGTGACTTTAGAGAGATTTTACCATTTCCGAGCCTCAGTTTCCACATCTGTACTGTTAATTTTAAAAACCTACCCACAGGCTTTTTTGGAGAATTAATTGGATTAATGGAAGTGAAACACATAGCGAGAGTCTGATACACAGTAC